AGATGATGGGGGTCGAAGACTCAATCTAAATCGACCCTTGGTTGAAAAGCAGTTCGAGAATGAGGTACCCAGGCTTGGTAGAGAATTGGGTGATTATGCCAGACCAATCTACAATCAGGGATTGTCCAGTGTCAGACCTTCTCCCGTAGCAGCGAATAATTTTGAGTTGAAGCAAGGCTTGCTTCAAACCATCCAGAACAACCGTTCCTTCAAAGAGAAGGTGAATGAAGATCCTATCACTCACTTGATGGATTTTGAGGAAATTATGAACACCTTCCAGTACACCAGAGTGTCAAAAGATGCAGTCTACTTAAGGGCATTCCCCTTTTCTCTGAAGGATGATGCAAAGCACTGGCATCGAAGCTTACCAACTATGTCGATAGGGACATGGGAATATATGACAAAAAAGTTCCTTGACAAATACTTCTCAGCTATAAAAATAGTGAAATTCAGAAGGGAAATTCATAATTCTGCCAATAGGACACTGAAACAGTTTTTGAGGCTTCTGAAATCAAAGAGATTGTGTGAAAGTGTCAGCATAATGGGATTGAATTTTGGATGCAACTCCAGGAGTTTTGGGATGGACTGACAACCTCCTCACGATGAACTCTGAGTACTGCAGTTGGAGGTCCTTTAATAAAGAAGACTCCGGAGGAGATTGTTGCAATTCTTGATGAGCTCTCTAAAGATGCTAACCAATGGACTCCTGAGAGTAATGATAGAATAAAATCAGTTGTGGTTCACCAGGTAGACTCTAACACATCAGTGTAAGCCCAGCTAGACACCATGGCCAGAGAGATAAGAAAGTTATCATAGTCCAAGGTACAGAGTGCGTCGCAAGTAGCATGTGACTTTTGTGGAATGGGACACCCTACACATGAGTGTCAAGCTTTAGCTGAAGTACTAAATGTTGTGGGGAGCTTTGACAGAGGCAACTACAAAAGTGGAAACAATTTTAACTCCATGGGGTAGAGGCACCTAGAGCTTTCTTGGAGTTCACTAGATGGTAGTGCAAATGCATGGCAGCAAAATAACTCTAGACCCCAGGGACAGGGAGCTCCAGGTTTTCAAAATTAGCAGAGGCAGCAATATCATCCTGCACAATATGATCGCTCTAGCATGGAAGATTTGATGAAGGCATTTATTATTAAGATAGATAAGAGGCTTGAAACCCATGGCGCATCTATCAGAGAACAGGGCACAACCATTCTGATCTTAGAAAGACAGGTGGGGAAACTAGCTAATCTATTATCTGAGAAGGTTCCAGGAACTCTCCCTTTTGAAATTGAAAGAAATCCAAAAGAGAAAATAAATGCAGTGTTGTTGAGGAGTGGGCACGTATTGGAGGATCCCAGAGCAAAACAAAAGGATGAGCTAATTGAAAGACATGTGCAGATTGTGGAGGAGCAGAAAAATGACAACATTCTAGAAGGTACAGGGATGGTAGATGATGGTCTGAAGAAGAAGGGGAAGACTATAGCTCAGAAGAAGAAGAAGAAATATGAGAATGCAATAAATGAGGAGACTGAAGAAAGTAAATATATGCATGCTCTACCTTTCCCGCAGAAATAGAGAAGAGAGAAGATGGACAAACAATTCGGGTGCTTTCTAGAAGTGCTCAAGCAGGTGCATGTGAATATACCGGTCACAGAGGTGCTCTCACAGATGCTAGATAAAAGGTACTGGTAAGGTCAGTAAGCCACTCTCTCATGCTATAGGAGATGTATATTATGTCGTAGGCCTCAAACATAATTTCCTTAGCATTTCTCAAATGTGTGATAAAAGAAATTAGGTAAAATTCAATTCAAAAATTTGCACTCTAACTAAGCTTGATACTGATGAAGTTGTGTTAGAAGGTAAGAGACATAACAATGTTTACAAGATATCCATTATGTCTCTTCCTCAGAGTGAGCACACAATCTTAAGTGTAGTGGAGAATGATCTACTGTTATGGATAGAAGATTGGGTCATGCCAGTCTCAACTTAACAAATTGGCAGCAAAGAACTTGGTTCTTGGCCTACCAAAAGTTGAGTTTTCCTCAGACAAGGTATGTGATGTCTGTGTTAGGGGGAAATATATAAGGTTGATGGTAGGCTAGAAACTCGTGTTTTAGTTGTAGTTTGCACTTAAATTACTGCATTTTACTTGTGTTTGAGCTTAAATGTTAGTGTATTGCACTTATTATGTGTTTTATGTCGTGCAGGAAGTGATACCGAGATAAGAAGATAATCGGGAGCTAAACTAAACATGTTGGAGCTTTCAAGTCTGATTAAAAGCCCAAGGGAATAAACCGGAATCGCGTTCGGGGGGTCGAGAGCCAAGACTCGATGTCAAAAATTGATGAAAATGAATTACTCTATAAAAAGTCTACTACCCCGGCGCAGGGGGCGGCGCGGCAGTGTCAAATGCTACTGTTTGTCAAAAAGTGATAGTAGGCTGGAAACTAGTATTTTAGTCATAGTTTGCCCTCCAATTATTGCATTTTACTTGTGTTTGAGCTTAAATGTTAGTGTATTGTACTTATTATGTGTATTTTACGCTTTGTAGGAAGTGATTCGGAGCTATTAAGATAATTTGGAGCTAATTTGAACAAGTTGGAGCTTTGAAGTCTGAGTAAAAGCTCAAGAAATTAAGGCGGGATCACGTTCGGGGGTCGAGGACCAAGTCTGGATATCAAAAAGTGTGAAAAAAAGATTAATCTGAGAAAAATGCACTACCGCGCCGCGAGTTTGGATGGAATTCATGTTTTCTTTTGTGGTGACTTCCTTTATGAATATGGAGTATGTTTTGATTGATATTTATGTATTTTAACTCTAGTTCTATGCTTGAATTCGTTTATGAAGCTTTGAATTGATTGCAACTTTATTCACTAGTTTATTTAATTGAAAGAGGAATATTTTGGTGATTATCTTTGCATTATTTTGTTTGGTTTAATTCAGTGATTCTTTTAAGTAATCGAAAGAGCTTGTTGAATTGTTGATTAAATAAAGTTAGGAGAACATTCGAGAGACGTTTTCTGAAGAATAATCCTTAAATGCATGCTTGAATACTACACGTTTGAACTAATCATCAAGTGAATTCGTGAGACTCATCAGAACATTAGAGCGGATTAAACTAGAGTAGATCTCAAATAGCTATCTTGCACCTATCCTGTCATGATCCTTATTTCTCCTATTGATATTTCAGTGTTGCTCAACTCTTGACTTATAATGATCAATTGTTAATTATTTTAGTTTCATAGTTAATATTAGATTACTCATTTCAACAAATGTGTTAATCATCCTTAATAGTGTTAAGCTAGAAATTACTTGAACATTATTTTAATCCAATCCCCGGGAGACGGTAATCCTAACTATACTATCTTTGGCTAGCAAGAACTAATTTCGTGTAGTTTTTTGAGCTCATCAAATATTGGCGCCCTTGCAGAGGATTCGAAATCAATAAGGTTCAAATTAGTTTTTGATGCTAATTCAGGAACCAATTTTATTTTATTCTTCACGGTTTTTCTCATTCGTGTGCAGGCAACAGGTTCAGCTCTTTGGTGTATGACCCGATCTTCTTCTAAGGAAGTGATTCCATACGATCCAGAGGTGGAAAAGCGTATGCGACAGTTGAGGAAAGAGAAATAAAACACCGGGAAATTCTTAGGGAAATCTTTAACCCAAGAGAATATCGCGAAGAACGGTGAGGAGATAGTTGATTTAGCTGCACGGGAAGCAGCCCAATAGGAAGCAGTCGCACAGGCAACTACTGAAATAGCTCTCAAAGCTGATGAAATGGTTGACGGGAATGGAAGACGAAGATTCAACCTGAACTGACCTCTGGTTGAAGACAAATTTGAAAATAATATGCCCAGGCCTGGAAGATCACTAGGAGACTACGCCAGGCCAGTCGACAACCAAGGAGTATCTAGTGTGCGACCCCCTCCTATCACAACCAATAATCTTGAGATCAAGCAAGGGCTACTTCAGACCGTTCTGAACAATTTTGTCTTCCTGGCAAACTCAATGAAGATCCAAATACCCTTTGATTGATTTTGATAAGATTATGAATACCTTCCAGCACAACGAAGTATCGAAAGATGCTATCTACTTAAGGACATTTCCTTTTTCACCGAGGGAAGATTCTAAGCACTGGTTGCAAAGTTTGCAGACTGGGTCAATTCAAACTAGGGAAGACATTACAAAGAAGTTCATTGAAAAATATTTTTCGGCTGCAAAAACAAGGAAAATTCGAAAAGTGATCCACAACTTCAAGCAGAAAGAGACATAAACGGTGTTTGAAGCACGAGAAAGATTTAAGGATATTGTGAGAAGATGTCATCATCATGAAGTGGACTTGTGGATGCAACTCCAAGATTTCTAGGATAGTCTGACACCCTCTGGCAGGAGGACGCTAAACAATGCAATTGGAGGTCCTCTTATGAAGAAAACTCCTGAGGAAATTGTTGCAATTCTGAATGTATTATCTGAAGATGCAAATCAATGGCCTGCAGATCATAACCATAGAAGAAAATCAGTTGGGGTGCACCGGGTAGACTCTAACACATCAATGCAAGCGCAGCTAGACATCATGGCCAGAGAGATAAGAAAGTTAACATTGGCCAAGGTATTGAGTGAGCCGCAAGCAGCATGTGGCTTTTGTGGAATGAAACACCCTATACACAAGTGTCAAGCTTCAGCTAAAGTAGTAAATTCTAGGGGGAGCTTTGAGAGAGGCAACTACCAAAGTGGCAAAAATATTAATTCCATGGGAAGAGGCACCTAGGTTTTTCTTGGGGTTACCAGGTGGTAGTGCAAACGTATGGCGGCAAAATAACTCCAGACCTTAAGGGTAGGGAGCTATAGGTTTTCAAATTCAGCAGAGGCAGTAATACCACCCTCCACAGTCTAATCAGTCTAGCATGGAAGATCTTATGAAGACTTTTATTACTAAGACAGATAGGAGGCTTGATACCCATAGCGTATCTATTAGAGAACTGGGCACGGCCTTTCGAAACATGGAAAGACAAGTGGGGCAACTAGCTAATCTATCGTATGAGAGGGTTCCGAGAATTCTCCCTCCCGATACTGAAAGAAATCCAAAAGAGACTATAAATGCAGTATCTTTTAGGAGTGGGCATGTATTGGAGGATCCCATGGCAAAACAAAATGATGAGCTGATTGAAAGACAGGTGGAGATTGTGGAGGAGCAAAAAATGACAATATTCAATAAGGTGGATGATGGTCTGAAGAAGCATAGGAAAGGGAAGACTAGAGCTCAGAAGAAGAAGAAAGATGAGAATGCAATAAATGAGGAGACGTAAAAATGTAAATACTTGCCTGCTCTACCTTTTCCACAGAAGCAGAGAAGAGAGAAGCTGGACAAACAATTCGGGCGCTTTCTAGAAGTGCTCATGCAGGTGCATGTGAATATAACTTTCACAGAGGTGCTATTACTGATGCCAGCTTATGCTAAATTTCCTAAGGAGATATTGTACAAAAAGCGAAAAGCGGAAGACACATTGGTTGTCAAGCTCACAGAGCATTGTAGTGTCATTATGCAAAATAAGCTCCCTCAAAAGTGGAGAAACAAGGAGTTTTACTATACCTTGCTCTTTAGGAAGTACTACATATGAAAAATCTTTGTATGATTCAGGTGCTTCCATTAATCTTATGCCTTTGTCTATTTTCAGGAAATTGGAGGGAGAGATTGGAGAAATCAAGTCGATACCTGTGTCCTTGCAGCTGGCGGATCAAACCACAATCATACCTAAAAGAATAGTGGAAGGTAAGCTAGTTTGAGTGGATGAATTTGTGTTCTCTGTGGACTTCATTGTGGTGAATATAGAAGAGAATAGGGAGTTCCCTCTAATTTTAGGAAGTCCCTTCTTCGCTACGAGTAGAGCAATTCTGGACATTCAGGAAAGGCAACTCATGCTCAGAGTGGGGGAGGAAAGGGTGATCTTCAAGATTGAAGGTGCAAAGGGGGACCTAAAGGAGCAATTGGAGAGAGTAAAACTGATAAGTGTGGGGTGTACCCAAACAATACTTAAAAAAAGCTCTTAGAATGGATGTGTGCACTACGTCGGGCGTGCAAAAGAACTCCCGACTTCGATTTAGATCCCGACTAGATGAACCAAGAAAAATTCCTTTACCTCTTGCATTTTATTTGTGTTTCATGGGGACATTCTACATTTAAAGTGTGGGTGGAGATGTAAATATGTACATGTGCATTTTTCTGCATTTCTTTCGATTGAATTTTTTTTTTTTTTTTGACTTTTCCTGATGATGAATTTCCTCGGCGGTCTTCTTGAGGAATCAAAGTTGAAGAAAAAAATATATATTGTTTTCTTAGTTAGTGTAACAATTTCTCCTTGGTTTTCTTTGTGATGCAGTTCTTTTTCAAGGGTTTTGCTTGAATCAGATGTAGTTAGTTTTGCTTTTGTTTGGAATAAGGAAGTCTTGTGCTATGGTGATTAATGGAGATAACTGCTCTTGACTTTATTGTTCTTTGAGAGTAGTAAGTGCCTTAGTTGTAACGCTTAGGCTCAGTTCTTGTCTCTTGGATAAGTGCCTTAAATTGTTTGATGATGATGTTGCTTAACTGCTTTGACTAGAGAGTCGGGATAGATCCAATCCTGAGTGAGTTATGTGTCAATGTGTGTGTGAGGTCATTCTTGATATTCTGTGCATGTCAGTTGCTGTCTAGAACCTGCCCCGTGTGTTTGCAAAGTGAAGTAGAAGTCTTGTTCAGTCTAGGAAGTGATATAGGTATTTCTTTGTGAGCAAATTATATGCTTGTGACCGCCTTATTGCTGTGTATCTTAGTTGGCCCCTTTGAGCCTGTAATCTTGTTTTCTTTGGCAACCAAACTACAAGCCTGACCCCTTTGTTTGATTTGACCATCTGTTTGAACCTTTTACCTCTCTTGAGCACTTGAAACTGTTATGAAATTCTTACGAGCTAAGTAGAGGTATGGTTGGGCTTTTGAGTGGACCTAATAATAATGGAGAAAGGTGAATTAGTTGAAAATTGTGGGAGCCATGTGTAAGGAATTGAAAAAGAGAAAGAAAAATCAGTCAGAACATTGAAAAAGAAAAAAAAAGGAAAATTTATGAATGTTGTAGAAAGAAAAAAAAACGATTCCTTTCTAGTAGTAAATCTTGCTTTGTCTGTGCTTAAAGAAATTCGGAGCTTGGTGTTATTATGTGTGAAGGTTGGAGTTTGGTTCAACACAAGTGTGTGATTTAAATTGTGAAATTCTATGTATTAAAGTGCTCAGGGAGGTGTAGTCACTATATCCAATTCTATCCTACCCGTCCCACACCCTACATGACAACCAATTAAGGTCCTACTTGATCCTTGACTGAATGAGCTCAAATTAATAGAGTACTACACTACGGGCAAGCATATGGTACGTCTTTTGTGGTACATGGATTTTAATTATGAGAGTGAGTGAATTCTTTCTATCTTGAGTTCCTGTGTGTTCTTGAATTTTATTATGTGTGGAACTGCGAAGGAAAGGAAATTCATGTGGCCTCTGAGTTAGAGTAAGTGAGTAGGTTTCGAAATACGTGGCGTGCGTGACTCGATTCTTGAGGCTAGGATGTTATGATATGGCACTTAGTCTGCTTTAAGTATTCTTGGCATGATGTGTTAGGGATGTTGTCTGATAAGAAGGTCATCTCTATGTGAAGAGCAGTTCGATTACTCGAGAACAAAAAATGATTTAAGTGTGGGGTGCTGATTGTAGGCTAGAATCCTGTGTTTTAGTCATTGTATGCACTCTTATTACTGCATTTTGCATGTGTTTGACCTTAAATGCTAGTGTATTACACTTATTATATATTTTATGCCTTGCAGGAAGTGATTCCTAGTTAAAAAGATCATCGGGAGCTTAATTGAACAAGTTGGAGCTTTGAAGTATGAGTAAAAGCCGAAGGGATTAAATCAGGATCGCATTTGGGGGTCGAGAGCCAAGTTTGAATATCAAAAATTGAAGAAAACGAAATACTCTGTAAAAATTCTACTTCCACGGATCATGGGGCGGCACATGGGGCGGTGCGGAAGTGTAAATTATTGCGGCCCTATCGGAATCTGCTCTCTAAACTTTCTCACTAGCGCCACGCATGGGGCAGCGTATGGTGCGGCGCGCCTGTACAAATTTCTCAGAGTTTTTTCTTGTTTCGGCTAGGAAAGGATAGTTTCGTCCGATCCCACTTCTACATGGTATCAATATACCAAAAAAGACATTATTGAAGGGACTTTTCACACATGGAAGATTGGAAGAGCATTAAAGACTCAAAGCATAAGGATTCATCATTGTTTCCTCAACTCAACGCTAGAGTTTGGATTGAATTCGTCTTTTCTTATTATTCAACTTTCTTTGTGATGAATTTCTCCATGAATATGGATTAATTTACCTTAGGGTTTGATGGATATGGTGTTTTGATTGCTATTTGTGGATGTTAACTCTAGTTCTTTGCTTGAAATCGTTTATGTAGTCTTGAATTATTTGCAACTTATTCACCAGTTTATTATATAAAGAGGAATATTGTGGTTATTACCTTGCATTATTTTGTTTGGTTTAATTTACTGATTCTCTTAAGTAATCGAAAGAGCTTGTTGAATTATTGATTAAATCAAGTTAGGAGAATATTCTAGAGACGTTTTCCTGAAGACTAATCCATTAGCGCATGTTTGCATATTTTCACATAGCTTATATTAGTTCACCTCGCAGAGTTAAAATTTAATCGAGAGAGGAGTCCTGAATACACTTTTGAACTAATTATCAAGTGAATTCCTGAGAATCATTAGAACATTAGAGCGAATTGAACTAGAGTTGGGTCCCAAATAGATATCTTGCACATATACTGTCATGACCCTTATTTTCCCCATTGATATTTCATTGTTGCTTAACTCTTGTTTTTTTGTGATCAATTGTTAGTTGTTTTTGTTTTCATAGTTAATTTTAGTTATAATCCATCCCGACAAAGTGTTAATCATCTTAAGTAGCTTTAAATAGAAATTACTAGTGCATTATTTAAATTCAATCCATATAGAGATGATAAATTGAACTACACTATCTTTGACTAGCGAGTATCAATTGTGTTTTGCGCTCATCGGGGAGATTTTACTTTGTATTCACTTTTACCTGAACATTCAATTGATTTTTTTGAAATGCTTGCGGATTTTTCATCAAAGCTCATAATAGGGCAAGAAAAGTCCAAGATAGGAAGGCAGATTTAATTAGAATTGCCCAAAGAGATTCTGAGTTGCTGTGAGAGTTCGTGATCCGGCTCCAAAATGAGAGAATATTGTTGCCAGCAGTACTGGAAGAATGGGCAGCAGAACCATTCACCTAAGGTCTCAATCCCTTAAGCTCTTATGCCTTAAGTAAGTTAAAACAAAGTCTTTTGGAATTCCAGGCAACCACATGGGTTGACGTCCATTATCGTTCTAAATCAAAAATTAGAATTGAAGATAATCTTTTGGGTTCTCTAGTGTGTTTCAAGGATCGAAATCGTGATCAGAATCAAGAAAAATAGAATTATCCCTGTTTACCCCAAAATTGGATAACAATTAAATTTGTACGCGGATTTAAGTATACGTGGTTTGATTCAACACAAATAATTAAGAATATTAGATAATTGAATTAAATATGAAATAAGATCAAACCAATTGTGATGTTATTGAGAAGCTTGAACTTACATTGAAAAGTGATCCCGTCCTCGATTTGACCCTCGGTTCGAGCCCAGTCGTGAATGAAGAACATGATAAGGAAGAATTTCAACAGTAGCTAAAAGGCAGGAAATAAACTTGTATTGCTTTGATTCGCGTGTTACAGTGTGTCTTACAAAAGAAAAACTTTCCCTTTATGTAGTAGGAGAGTTTCATCCCTGGTATAAGTCTAAAAAAAGGTAAAAATCTTCCTTTCCCTGTAATTATTGATCCATAATCAACATTGAGCGAGATCTGCACCGTGATCTCTGGTTGGATGCGAATATCCTTTATCCGTCGTGTTTAACCGTTTACCGTGTTGCTCGAGGTCTTAGAAATCATTCTTGGCCAGGAGCGCGTCGCTTTACCATAGCCAATGATGAGTACATCATCCACTCTTCATAGATCTCGATACGAAGGATCTCTAACTTCGATTACAATCTTGTGTATCTGTGCCCTTCCTCCGTTTTCTCCTTGGGAAATCGGGGTAGACATTACCCCCGATTTTACCCGTACACAAATAGTCCCCTCGTTTTCCAGAGAGTAGGTTTACCAAAATTATGGGAAGCGGTATATGAACTCTGGTTCCTTCCTTCATACATTACACCCGAGATGACGAGCCAATTGAAACATCCCATCAGTCGTGTCGTTCTGACTTTGGACACGTGTCAGCCGTCGGTTGACTGTCCTTGAATGTGAAATGTCGCGCATTGATTGTTCTTCCTCTATAAAAGCTCCAAACCTTTTATACTTCTTCCACTTTCTGGTTCTAGAATTTCCCCTCAAACTCTCTAATTGCTTTTAACTCCTCCAAATCTTCATAAATTGCTTCTTAAACCTTCATATTTTCATCTTCAATCCTCATACATTTTCTTTGGATATTCAACCCAAACCATCATATCTTCATACCATCTTCAAACCTTCATATTTTTCTTCAAACCTTCATACTTCCCAAATTATTATGGCAAAAACCTCCAAGTTAGTGCTTCGGCAGACTATTCCTTCATCTTCACACCCAGCCACAAATGCTGAGATGGCCGTTCCCGAGGTGGCTCAAGAGTCCCCTATGAAGAGCTTCGTACCTGGGGGCTGCTCTATCGGGAATGACTTCCACGTCGATAGGGCCTCTAGTCAACAGGACCGGGGCGAGGGAGCATGGAGATACATATGTTTTGTTACTAAGAAAACACTACCCATAGTCCGAGCGGACTGTAACTGGGAGGGTAAAGAAGTGGTCGTCCCAGGGCCCAATGATGACATCACCACTCACGTGGAGGGGTACTTAAGTGTTTACACTTACCCCTTCAAACTCACCTCAGTGGACCCCATAGTCCTTTCCTTCTGCAACAGGTACGATGTGTGTCTTGAAAAATCCACCCATCCTTTTGGAGGATCGTGATCCTCTTATGACATTTCATGAACAATATTGAAGCCCCTCGGTTCACCCTTAACCACTTGCTTCACCTATACAGTCCCCAAATCTTTCGAGGGGGGCTGATCAAGCTCGTCCGTCAATCAAGCAAAGCTCCATTATCGAGCATCTATGAGGACTGAGATCGAGAATGGCAGAGGAGGTTCATCCAGGTGAAAACCGAAGTCCTCATCCCTTCTGAGTTTCTGCCATTCCCAGAGAAGTGGAACACATCCCGTAAGTATTTTCCTTCTCGAGTATTTGTCATTTCCATTTGTTCTTTCTCTC